TCTTGTCCATTATCCGCTTATCTCGGATTCCGGCATTCTCGCAGATAACCTCGGCCTATCTGAGATCATATCGGTGTCATGACCAAGACACGTGACACCTCGGCTGACACTTCGGTGTCACCTCAATCACGTGTTGTCATTCAAAAATTATGTCCCCACAATATATATAATATTTTACATTTAGAACTAAGCAAGACTTTATTACAAAAATACAATGCACACATGTAGAAGTCGTAGAAAAAATAACGAAAGAAAATATTCACATGAAGGTGATCAAGAGAATTAAATGTCTAATCTCCAAACGACATGCTTAGACTCTTGGTTAGCACGTTAAACCATTAATTGTTTAATTACTATGATGATGCAAAAAAAAAAATAATAATAAAAATAAATAAATAAATAAAATTCTTGATTTAAGGATGGAATCAAGGAAGCATTAGTTCTGGGCAGAAGGAGTGTGTGTTTCGTCGGCACCAAGTATGTATGTGCTTTACTGGCTTTCCCCGGATAACGTGGCAAAAGCTGTGCCTCTTAATTAAATTTTTGGACTGAAAAAATAATAAATAAAAGGACCAACATTATGGAAAGAATTTTTTTTTTATCCATACGTATAATTTTTTTTATTTATCTTCACACATTATTTTTGTACTTATGGAGACAAGCTAGAGGGTTGACACTAATAAATGTATATGTATGACTTTCACGTTGTGTTTAGAACAGAGAGTGAAAAGAAATGGAAAATCATGGGTGTGCCATTAACAGATATGCATGTGGTGATAACATGCAGATAATTAAATGTATCATGTTCTATTCACAATAGCAAATTTCACTATTATTGTTATTACAATAACACAGCTAGCTAGCTAGTTTACACAAGTTCGGAGAACCATTTATTTTCTTTAAACTCAGATGCAATTAATTTATAATTCGTTTATGAATTTACGTGTGTTCATACCAGTAAGATTGAATCAGTTCACGATTTCAAGTTAAGTTTATAGCTGTAAATTGGTGCCATTGTCGTTCCCAAGGCCCAGCTGGTGCACTGCTGAACTTGGGTTGGCACAGCAAGCAGAGCACTCTCACAAGCACTTCCTCTTCGCTGTATTTTTTCAAAAATGATAGAGATTCTCTTTTTGGAGGACCTCACAACCCCTAAAGTGATCCATACCACTTATGATGTAAGCTCCACACATACATGCGTGAGCTCCACACATCATGAATGGTGTAGATCAATTTGGTGGTTGTGGGGGTCCTCCAAAAAGGGAGTCTCACTCATTTTTCGTATTTTTTATGATGGACCTCACTATATAATATGTATGATCGTACTTTTTTTTTGTAATTGATTCTGTATATGTAGTCTTTTGTTTTGTTGCTTTGCTTCACTACTTGTTTTCCTGTATTCCATACACAGCTCGGCACAACTAGCATTGTATTGTGTGTAACCAAAAAATTGTATTTATTTATTTATTTTTATTTTTTTGTTTAGTTTTGATAACTACTACCACCATGGCACCATGTTTAGAAATCACTGGTGGGATATTGGAGGTTACAGGCTTGACTGGAGGAGAGAAAAAAGCCTCTTCTGGAGCATGAGGTTGAGGCTGTTCTGGGGGGTTAGATCACTGCAGGATACTACCCAAAAAAAAAAACCCAATTATTTCTAATCAATATGATTTCTTTATAAGAACTCAATTCATAAATGGAATTAAATAGTGGTCACCTTGGACTTTTTGCATGCGAGACTGCTAGTCAAATTAGCCAATTTTACACACTAATCAAATTTTGATTGCTTCATAGAAACTGCTTACAATTGGCGCACATGACAGCACAGTTGTCCTTTGCTCTACTTAATTAACAATTTGTATATAAAAAATAAATAAAAAATTAAGAGAGATATTATTTATCACTCCATTTATTTTACCATTTTATTTCACTTCTTATGTGTATTCATTCAATAAATATCAGTTGTTCAATTCATAAATGGAATTAAATAGTGGTCACCTTGGACTTCTAGCATGCGAGACTGCTAGTCAAATTAGCCAATTTTACACACTAATCAAATTTTGATTGCTTCATAGAAACTGCTTACAATTGGCGCACATGACAGCACAGTTGTCCTTTGCTCTACTTGATTAACAATTTGTATATAAAAAATAAATAAAAAATTAAGAGAGATATTATTTATCACTCCATTTATTTTACCATTTTATTTCACTTCTTATGTGTATTCATTCAATAAATATCAGTTGTTTACATGGGATCATCATATTTAAAAAACAATGAAAACTATTTTGCCAAATGAGAAGCCACATTGAAAGTGAAAAATTGTAAAATTTCAGGTGATGTTAATTTAAAAAAAGGTGAAGGAAATTTGGAAGGTAGTTCTATTAGCACTGATGTGGTCAGTGTGGAAACTCAGGAATGAATGTTTGTTTAAAGAGGCACAGCTAGATTTTGCAAAATTGGAAGAATTGGTAAAGGTTAGAGTGGCTTTGTGGGCAAAATCAAATTTGAATGACTTGAAGTACTCAGTTCACGATATAGTTTCTAATCTAAAGCAGGTCTGCTATTGTGTGTAGCAAGGTGTAGCACTGGAGTGTTTGTTGCTGCTGCAGAGCTGTCTTTTGGCCTTGGTTGTGTTAATGTAGCTTTGGGGATTATTCAGCCATGGTGCTGCTCTGTTTTGTTGTATTTTTTTTTTGCTGTCTTTGGCTGCTGTTGATCGGTCTCTCACCAATCTTGGGTTCAGTGCTAGCATATGATTGAGCTAGTTATCCGGTACTAATCTAGTTGGGATTATTAAGTTTAGTTATGATGCTCGGTGCACTTACTTTATTAATGTAAATTTTCGCATGTATTTGTTTTCTTTATCAATAAAGTTTTCTCTTTGCTAATAAAAAAAAGAAGAAGATGAAAATAAGTTATTCACGTTGAGGTAGATAGGTATGCCATGCAAACGTATTGCACTATAATAAGTTGACTAGTCCTTAATATTCTAAACTGCACAATATATAAAAATATCAAAATAAGTTCATATAATTGGTAGTTGATTAGGGTTAGAGGATAGAAATTTTTAAGAAAAGATAATTCTGTGACATAGCAAATGTTTACATCGAGAACCCTGGCATTAGTGCCAATATATCTACATATATATTTTTTTTTATTGAGCTTCCCAAAATGAAATAATAAATCACGCAAATAAAATTTTTGTGCTTGGAAGTGCTCACCTGCCTCGATGGATTTGTCTGGCTAAGCTAATACATTATGAACATTGGACTATGCTCACTCTTAAACGATGTGAATAGTGGGTATAGATTCCTTGCTATTCTCACTTATCCTTTTGAGGCCTTCTCGATTTTACCCTTCCACTTGTTCATCATGATATTATATAATTAGTTTTACATTATTTAACAAGAATATACAATCATTTAATCGTCTTTGTTTTTTATGTTTTAACTAATACCATTATAAGATTCGAGCAATTTTCAAGTCGTCATAGAGATGACACTTACATGCTAAGGTGAGTGAGATTTCAAATTCTAATCTATAGAAAAACATTAGTTTGAATTATAATTTAATTTTTAACATACTAGGCGTCTTATCTATTATCAAGTTAATTAATTAGCAAATTCTTGATATATTTGGCAGGATTAATACCCTATTATTTACTTGAATACATAAGTTTTAATCACTAATAAATGGAAAATTTTATGATATAAAAGCCAATCTAAATTAGCTCTAATCCCAATACCAATATGAGACTACTTTGGATCTTCACACCCATCCCAAAATTGCCAGCCAAAGTGAGGATCATGCCATGCTTCCCTACCAAGGGAATCTGGAATTGATGTACACCGAATGTTATTCATATTTTTGACCTTTTCTTTTCTTTTCTTTTCCTTCATTTTTTTTTTTCATCCAAGTGTGATTTTGTTTTTATAATTAGGTTGTTTGAATGCGTTTTCTTATTGGCAGGAGAAAATAGAGAATGAAAATCTAACTAAAATAAGCTTTAATACTATGAAAAAACTAGTAACTAAAATAAGCTTTAATACCGATAGCCCTCACGCACGTTAATTCACTATTATTATAGAAAGTGGAAGTGACAAAAAGTGAAATAAAAATAAATAAATAAATAATGAATGGAAAATATACTTTCTAGTAAGTATTTGGTTAAGATGAATTTTAGGTGAGACAGTTACAGTAGTAGACTATTTTTACAAAATTTAATTAATTTTTTTACAAGAAACTGAAAAACAAGTTGTACAAAATTTAGTTAATTAATTATTATTATTATTATTATTATTTCGCATTTTTTGCTACTCCTAAACAAAGCAAGAAAAAAATTCAATTTCTTTACTTCCGAACCATTTTTATTCTAATCAAATTCAGCCTTTTTAAGTGTTGTGCAAAGAGTAATACATGGTGGTTATATAAATATGTGGACTTGCAAAGTTAATAATAATCTGTGTAGATATTAAATATGACAAGAATAACATGTAGCAATAACACTTATCATGTAAATTATCACACGGTACCCATGTATCATTGATTAATGAATAATTTTGAATGATAATGAGGAATTGATTAGTTAAGAGAAAAATAAAATTTGTTTCACCAATTCATTTAGGTTATTTTTAGATCATGAATTTAATTAGATAGGAATAAACTTAATTGATACTATTATATCGATTAATCAACAATGGTGCATAAAATGTTGTCACCCGTGAAACTTTTGATAAAATCTTCTTAATCGTTTTTATAACTTGTTGTCAACACTACCTAGTAGTCTTGTAGGGTTAATGGCAAGTAAAGTATAATACACCTCGATTTTAATTTTAAATTTTGAACCTTACCATATAAAGATAAGGTGGAGTATTAAAATTGATGATATATTAAATGGAGCTTGGGGAACCAAAAACATAAATTTATGTCAAACAAGCAACAAGCCTCACGTGCTACCATGTGCCAATGTAGCCTTTGTTTGACATTTCTAAATCGAAATTAAATAGTAAAATAATATTACTAGTTTTTCTCATTTATATTATGAATCCTATTAGGCAATTAATTAATACAGACTCCTCCTGATCAGAACCCTCAACAACAACAAATTTAAGCAATATTAGCAATGAATTATTGCCAAAATACAGTCAGACACAGAGGCTCCTCAGGTAAAACACTTTATTACATGATCATCAAACTCTTAACACAACCTCTCAAAGAACTGACATAGAAATAACAAGTAGTAGTAGTAGTAGTACTATAACATCGAAAAATTTAAGATTTTGAGTCCTTCAATTTAAGGGCATTTGATCATTTTGCCGTCGATCTTCACATGGTACCAGTCGCATTTCTTCTTGTGTTCAGGGACACATTTGAACTTTTCACAGCACGCTACACAATCCTTCACACATGGCCTTTTCTTGTCTTTCTTGCAGTACTTCTCACACATTGGATAGCAACCTATACACAAGCATACATTGTATACCACATTCTCAATTCCATGAAGATACATTAATGGTGTAACGTTTTTATTTTATTTTAATTTTTTAAATAGGATTTTTACCTTCTTTAGCCTTTGATGGGACTGGTGCACCGGCCTTGACTGGAGGGTGATGGATAGGACCGGTTTTGGGGGGATAAGCATGATGATGATGTTCAGGAGCCTCTTTTGGAGCATGAGCATGATGATGATGATGATGCTTCTCTGGGTGATGGACCGGAGCCTTTGCTGGAGCATGATGGTAAGGCTCTTTCGGTGGTGGATGGATTGGAGCCTTTTCTGGGGCATGAGCAGGAGGAGCCTTTACTGGGGAATGGACCGGAGCCTTTGCTGGAGCATGATGATAAGGCTCTTTTGGTGGTGGATGGATTGGAGCCTTTTCTGGGGCATGAACAGGGGGAGCCTTTACTGGGGAATGGACCGGAGCCTTTACAGGAGCATGGGCCGGAGGTTTAACATGATCAGGCTAAAAAAAAAAAAAAAAAAAAAAAAAAAAACAGTACCGATAAATTAATTAGTCAGTTTGACATTATTTCACTGGTCTAATGGAACTTTGGCATGAGACTAATATACTAAACATTGATGGCATTGCTTGAGAATTACCTCTGTTTTATTGGCCTCAACAGAAGGCGAAACCTGTGAAAGCAAAGAAAAATGGTGAGTTTAAAAAGAACCTACGCAAATCAAGGAAGAAAATTAAGATGCAATTAAAAACTAAATATGTAGGCAGTTGTGTGTGTTTAGTGGGAGGGAGGAGGAAATAGATATGTGAGCGAGATGTCCTTAGACTCATGACATGCTACGTATTTGACAAAAAACTTTAATACCATAACCCATGAAAAAACCAGTAATTGGAAACAAAATGCAACATGTCATTGGTTTGTTTTTCACCCATTCCATGTTTTGAAAAACAAAAAGATAGGAAGGAAAATTGAGGAAAACCACATGATGTCATTTAAATTGTTGACAAAGAAACATTGGAAATTAAAAATATAGGAAACAACTATGATTGACAGTATTGTCACTTTAGTGTGTAACATAGCATAAACATACCCAAGTGGTGACCAAAAGCACATATGCAAAGAGAAAGAGCGTAGCTTTCATTGCCATTGTAAGCAAAGAAAGGAGCCAATTAGGAAAAAAAAAAAATAGATGAGTGAAGAACTGTGTCCAGTGATGAATTAGTCAGTACGAAAAGGAGGTATATATAGAATCAAATTAGTCTCTAAAAAATGCAAAACAATATTAGAAAAATTGGCAGCTTCAGCTTCCCCAGATAAAGACGATATCATATACAAACAGCTTTTCTAATTCTGGTTTTAAGGCTCAAATTTCTCATTTTTAATTAGATAATGCGTTCCCAGTTGTCGATGCATGATAGGACACGTTTACGCCTTGAATAACGCAAATTGCTGCAAGATTTTAAGCTTTTCTCACTAGCCTTTTAGACCACCTCGTTTCAATGATTTTTTTTCTTTTTTAATTCATAAATAAATTTGCTAGTTCACAACAAATTAGGGTAGGGTTTATCTGCAAAGATTGGAATGTCAAACCACAAATGATTAATTTTATATATCCTCATGTCCATTAAATATTATTTACCTGAGCATGTGCCCTTATGAGAATCTCTCAAAATGCAAGAGTTTCATATTCATCCCCCAAAAAAAAAGAAGAAGAAAAAAAGAGTAAATTCCTTCATATTCTATTGAGAATTTTAAAGTGGTCAGGCCAAACTTATTTTTCTGAATTCAGAGAAGAAGATGAATAAGCTGAGGATAAAAACTGACACCCAAGTTTGTAGATTCACCAGGTGACAAAGCATCCTCGGTTTTTGTTTCTTAAAACACAGGCAATGTGTCAAGTTTTGAGGCAAAACCAAAATTAAAAACCAATCGGTATGAGAAAATAATTTTTTACTATTTTTATTTTTTGGCTCACATAAGAGATAATAACATTAATGTGACATTTTTTTCGTTAGTTGAGTCATAGTTTGAAGAGAAACCGCCCATGGCTCCAAATTCTTACAGTTAAAAGTTGCCAGCCAAACTCCTACTGCATATATGTCAATTTGAACTTTACAGAATATTCACTCTCTATGTCGATTTAAGCATTCATTTTTTTTTTTTCAGCTTTTAATTTGTTATTGGAATTAACTTGATATTGAATGCATATGTTGCATTGAGCCAGGGATCAAAAAAGGATTAAAATTCGATTAAAATACAACTAATTTGGGTTACAACCAGCCGACAGTCCCCTTTATGGGCATAATTAATTAAGTTTTAAGCTCTGCTAGTGGAAATTTTCTAGCATTTCTAGTTGCATGTACCTCTGATATCACCTCAATGAAATTTTAGTCAAAAAAATAAAGTTCAGTTGTCAACTTACCAAGTAAATGTCTGGTTTGGAGCAGAGAGGTCCATCTACAATCCATGTTCTCTTCTTCGAAATTTTTGAGGAATTCTTGAATTTGATTATACAACTTACATCCTATGTAGGGATGTAAGAAAAACCGAAAAAACCGACCAAACCAATTGAACCGAATCAAACCGGTTATATTTAGTTTGTTTTTTAACAAGAATCGGTCTGTGCAGTTTTTTAATTTGATTTTTTTCAGTTTTCGGTTCGGTATCGGTTTAAGCACCTTATGCACCGATCTAAACCGAAACCAACCGTTTCAACATATATTATATTTATAATATATATATATATATATAATCTAATAATATAATGATATTAATTAGTATAATAAACCTTAATTAATTAACCTTATCATCTTTATAACCTAAGTTTGTAAACTCTTATTATATTAATTTTAACTCTAACTCATTATTCTTGAAACCTTAATATTTTTAAACTTTTTTTTTTTGTTTTTATTTTTGTTAATTTAGAAATTGAAATGTATTAAATGGATGGATTGGATATGTTTGGATGGTAGACAAATAACTAATTTAATATTTTTATATAAATTAATGATTATATTTAAAAGTGACTCAAGTTTGAAAAATTCTAAACCAATTAAATCGCACCAAACCAAACAGTTTCAATCGGTTCGGTTTGGTGCGATTTGATGGGAGAAGCAGTCTGTATCGGTGTTCAAAATAATAAAACCGACATTATCGCTTCGGTGTAATTTTTTACCTATATACCGACCGTACCGAACCGATTACATCCCTAATCCTATGGACTAGTTAGCTTCAGAACCCAAAAGACAATTTAATAGTAAATATGACTCCCCGTTTTGGGGCCTCTGATGGGTTTTTTAGTTGCAATAGAAAATATTTATTTTTATTTAGAAAAGTGTTAGGTTTTTGTAATTGGCAATCCCATTGGACAAAATTCTTTTCGGTTGTAATTTTATTTGCTCTTTTGTTTAAGTGAGGATGTGAGTGTTTAGATGGGAATCCAACCCAAATTGTACTTATGTAGAGGAGTTTGTGATCTTGAGCCTTTCATGTTTGTTACTTCACTGACTATGTACGGGATCTGCGGTGGTCCAGGGGATAGCGCCCAGGCTGGGTCAAGGGGCAACGCCCACGAAGCCAAAGTTGTTTGACCACTTAAGCGGTCATTTGTGTGCTCTAGCAATGAATAGGAGCATCCAGTATCTGTGCCTGCAAATTGAAATTTTGAGAAAGATGTTTCACCGCTCGAGCGGTTGGCCTATATATTTCGCACCGCCTTTACTCACACCGTCACAATCCTATCTACTATAAAATGCTCTGTTTGCTGTTTTTAGAGTTTAAGCCATCCAAATTCTAGGAAAGCAGAGCTACCAAGGTTTTCTATATTGGAGGCTATTTTTATAATTTGAGAGTGATTGGCGGATTTACGAGTTTCATATTTATATTATCAAGGGGTTTGTCTTTGTTCTTTTATTCACAAAGAGAAAGGTGTTCTTCGGTGGATTTCGAAAAACTTGGGCCTGAAACTTTTGTGGATTCCGGATTGGCTCATCGTTGTAGATTCAACTTTGGACAAAATAAATCCGAGGTGAAGACGGCGGTAGAAGTGGCACATCGGGGTTGGTTCTATTCGGCATGAATTCACTACGTAATTGAGGGTACACTTGTGTTTTGTCTTTTTAGTGAATTATTTTATAGCTTTGGCCTGTGATTTTTTATCACAATTGGAGGCGCTCCAATTGTGATTTTTTTTTTCCACGTTAAATCGTTGTGTCGATTTGTTATTCACTAATTAAAATTAAAACATAATCATGAATCAATATCTCGGAAATTTTAGATTTTTCAAAAAGAATGCAAATTTATCCCTAAAAGTTAGTTGTTGAGGTGAAGGTGTCCCGCTTTTATATACAGCTCATTACTTTTGTACTCAAGCGATATGGGACTTCACTTCACAAAAAACAAATGACAATTGGTATTTTTTTAATACATGCATGTGCATGATTGATTTCAAATCAAAGTTTGAAAATAGAATATATATATATATATATAGCTGAGGATAAAATTGAGGAAAGTTCTAACAAAAAATTACAAGTCAATAAACCTGAAATTAGCGTAGTTTCGTAAGGATATGAATTATAAATGTTCCTGTCAAGCATATGACTTCCAACGTAAATGGATCTGCAACAATTCTCCACGAGTCATGAATTGACAACTAGATACATGTCATAGGTGTTGATTTCCAGCTCAAACAACGAATAGTAGCAACAAGAACATGGAGCACATAATTTTAATCATGATCTCTACCCGATTTTAGTGGCTTGTCTTCACAAAACCATGTTCCAACACTTTCTTTATTATTAAAAAAAAAAGAAAAAAAAAAAACTAACCACCGAAAGCATGAAATAAATAAATCAACCGAAAGCATATGGAATAAAGAAAAGGCACGTGGCTTGATTTTCAACAAAAACCATGTTCCAACACTTTCTTTATTATTAAAAAAAAAAGAAAAAAAAGAAAAAGGTTTTACAAGTTTCTCGTGACAAACCACTTCGTTATTGCAAAATTAGTTGTACCTATACCCCACGGAACATAATCCAAGCAACAGCAGTATCCAAAAGTACATAACCTAAGACAGAATCTCAAGCACATAACAATTCTATACAATCCACAAGTAAACATTTGCCTCAGTGAGGCAGCCAAAACTTGCCATCAAGTTAATGGTTGTGTTTCCCCCTTCACTTGAACAACGAACTCTAATTAATTTGGTCAACCCTGCACAAAACCCTATATGCAATCAGAATTTCTCTCTGTCTGTTTCCTCGACTGTCACCAAAAAAAAATGCAAAATGTACCACAGTTATTTTAGGGAAAAAAAGAAGAAGCAGGGGGTCACAGTCTGATAACAAATAAATTTTCAGGAACAATTTCCATTAAGAATATGAACTTGAAATGCTTTCAGAGACGCAAGTTCACAACCACCATCCGAGGGAGGATTCCTATGGAACTAAGTACAGTAATTCTCCAGAATCAGCCTAGACTCTAGGACTCTGATAAACAGCTCCAATATGCCCTTTCTTTGTGAGTTCGGACAGGTAAATCAGAATATGAGGTCTAGATGATGTCCTCTTCATCCTCAAAGCTCAAGTTTAACGTCTGTAGCTTGAAGCCTGAACCTTGTATGATCTCAACCAAGTTGGAGGCCACCCCCGTAGCTTGTACTGTTGTTTGTTTTGTTAGCTGGCACCCCAAAAAAAAAAAGATAGCATACCATCAATTTCAGAAGGTATCCTAAATTATTTAACTCCATAAAGCACAATGGCACACCTTATTATTATAAATGCACTTGTAGAAGGGTTTCACATAAAAGAGCTGATATATTTGGCAGTGATTGTATGGCAAGTACAGTGGGTGGACCAGGAACTACGAAAGATTTAGGATTCCAAACTTATAAAATACTTTCTGTTAACTGCCAGTGCAAATCGAAGGGCTAGGAATATTTTTTGGGAGCAACTTCAATTTAAAGTAATTGTCTACACAAGTAACGCTAACGTTACTTAAACACAGACAATGTGTCAAGTTTTCGCGGCAAAACCAAAATTAAAACCAATCTGTGTGAGCTTTACCCAAGGTTCTGAAAAGCGGTTGCGGTCGCCGTAACGGTGGTGGTGACGCGGTTGCGGTTGCGGGGTGTAAAGGCCGTAGTGTAACGGTTGCGGTAACCGGAACCGTGAATTTTTTTATTTTTTGCACAATTTGAAAGAAACTTAACGATACACATATTTTTTTTCCATGATCATATTTATTGGATTAAAAATAAATATTGCTCAATTTTTATAAATTTTTAAATATGATCCAATATATTTCACATTTTTAAATCACTATAAATTGAGTTTTTTACATTTTATTTTAATAATTAATGACTTTATATTATACAAAAAATCAATCACTAACTATATATATAAGATAAACAATGACAAAAGTAAGAGAATAAATAAGAGCTTAAATATATATATATATATATACATATTTTAACCAAGCCAAATAGATAATGACCACGCTTATTATTATTATTATTATTTTCAAACAATATATAGATAGACACACACAAACAAAATGGTTTAGTGATAGCAGCTGAATAGAATAGTATAGGTCTTACAGCTTCAACAAATCAATAACATATTCTTCATCTTCCCTCCTCTCTCTCTATCTCTTGCTCCTCTATTTTCTCTTTTTATCTTCCCTCTACTCTCTATCCCTCTTTCCCCATTTTCAGCTTTTTTTTGTGTGTTTTTTCGAAAGAAACAGTTTGGAACCGTTACGTAACGGTGCGTAACAGGCCGTTACAGTTGTTACAGTACCGTTACGACCGCTACGGCAGCCGCTACGACCGACACACCTGTGAATCTTAATCACACTGCAAAAGCGGCCGTACGGGTGGCGGTAACCGCCAAAACCGTTAGGTAACGGCGTTACGTAACGGTTGCGGCCGCTTTTTAAAACATTTTACCTGATATTGGTATGAGATAATATTTTTTTTATTTTTTTGGCTCACATAAGAGATAATAATAGTAGTGTGACATTATTTTCATTAGTTGAGTCAATAATGGATGCATAGTTTGAAGAGAAACCGCCCATGGCTCCAAATTCTTACACTCATCCCAAAGTTGCCAGCCAAACTCATACTGTATACATGCCAATTTGAAATTTATAGAATATTCACTCTCTATGTCAATTTAAGCATTCATTTTATTTTTTTGATCAGCTTTTAATTTTTTTATTGGAATTAACTTGATATTGATGCATATGCTGCATCGAGTGAAGGACCAAAAAGGAAAATTCGATTAAAATACAACTAATTTGGATTACAACCGACCGACAGTCCCCTTATGGTCATAATTAATTAAGTTTTAAGCTCTGCTAGTGGAATTTTTCTAGCATTTCTAGTTGCATTTACCTCTGATATCACCTCAATGAAATTTTAGTCAAAAAAATAAAGTTTAGTTGTCGACTTACCAAGTAAATGTCTGCTTTGGAGCAGAGAGGTCCATCTACAATCAATGTTCTCTTCTTCGAAATTTTTAAGGAATTCTTGAATTTGGTTATACAACTTGTTTGGCTCAGAACCAAAAAAGCTTCATGACAATGTAACAGTAAATATGGCTCCCTGTTTTGGGGCCTCCGATGGGTTTTTTAGTTGCAATAGAATATATTTATTTTTATTTAGAAAAGAATTTAAATTTAACCCCAAAAGTCAGTTGTTGAGGTGAAGGTGCCCCGCTCTTTTATACTCTGCATTACTTTTGTACACAGGCGATGTGAGACTTCGCTTCAAAAAAAAAAGACGACAATTGATTTTTTTTAATATATGCATGTGCATGATTGATTTCAAAGCAAAGTTTGAAAAAAGAATATATATATATAGCTGAAGATAAAATTGAGGAAAAGTTCTAAGAAACAATTATAAGTGGGTGAGGCAAATAAAAAAGCATACCATCAATTTCAGAAGGTATTCTAAATTATTTAACTCCATAAAGCACAATAGCACACCTTATTTAACTTTTCCAAAGCTAGAAGCTATAAGTTGGCTCAAAAAACCCCAAACAAACACTCCCATTGTATTATAAATGCACTTGTAGAAGGGTTTCACATAAAAAAAGCTGATATATTTGGCAGTGATTGTGAGGCAAATACAGTGGGTGGACCGGGAACTATGAAAGATTTAAGGATTCCAAACTTATAAAATACTTTCTGTTAACTGCCAGTGCAAATCAAAGGGCTAGTAACATTTTTGTTTTACATTTTTGGGAGCAAGTTCACCTTAAAGTAATTGTCTACACAAGTAACGCTAGCGTAATACAGTTCCATTTAGGATATGTAAGATGCAACAAGTTGCTTATACTCACTTCAACGGTTGCAATACCCTCGACAACTTGAACTTTTAAATTGGTAATGCCCTCTGTTTCCTACAAAATAAGAAATGAAAAGGCAATTGGAAAAGTTAGTAGGCAAATGTTCCACACGTGATGGAATTGTAACTCAAAACTATTTGGCAAACACGGTTCAGCAGAACATGCCCAAGATAGATTTCCTTCATTTTACCATGAAGGTAAAAAACCATTGTCAATGTAGAATGTTGTTGCTAGCCAATAGTCTTAAATCCAGATACCAGGGCAAGAAGTTGTATAGCATTCTCTTTCAAACAAAAATACAATAAAAGGAATAAATATCATCATACGCGAGCCTATTCACTTATAAAATAATTCAATGAGGATTTATGGATTTACCTCTAAAGCGTTGGTCACGGTAGGAATAGCTGTTTCATTCATTGCTCCTTCTGCCTACATATTATTTATAAAAAATAAAAAATAAAAGTTTGTTATGGCATAGAAGCACATCTGTATATGACAGACAAATGCAAATAAATATAACATTGAACAAGATCATCATGTTCAAATAATTGCTTACTTCCACAAATTTCCAAAATCAGGCCATAAAAGTAGGATTTGTTAACAAGACTCGTTAAAAAGTTTGAAATATTTGAACCTTCATAAAAGTACGTATCATAAAAAAATGTACAATTATTTTAAACTCTGTTAATCAATACCTTAAAGGCAACCCTTAACAAGTTACAAGACCCATAAAAGTAAGATTAATGCTGTGTTTGGTTAAGGGATTTGATGAGGGATTTGGAAAGGAAAAAAGAAAAGGTGTGTAAAACTAGGTGAAATATAAACATATTTTATTCACATTTCACATAACTTTTCCATTTTCCTTTCCAAATCTCTCCCCAAATCCCCCAACCAAACACGACATAAAGGTCTTCAAACAAAAGCTGAAGCCATTTTATATACAGAAGAATATAACCTTGCACTCTTAGTTCCAATTGGTTCTATTAAAAGGTTTTTTTTTTTTTTTTCCCCTGTAATTTTTATAAGCAAACATCATGCCAACTTCACAAAGAAATTAAAACACACAGCCACTAAATCCAACTACAAATTCCAAATCTCTCCCCAAATCCCCCAATCAAACACGGCATAAAGTTCTTCAAACAAAAGCTGAAGCCATTTTATATACAGAAGAATATAACCTTGCACTCTTAGTTCCAATTGGTTCTATTAAAAGGTTTTTTCTTTTTTTTCCCCTGTAATTTTTATAAGCAAACATCATGCCAACTTCACAAAGAAATTAAAACACACAGCCACTAAATCCAACTACAAAACATCCCAAAATTTGCCAAAATTTAACAATGTCACTGCATTAGAATCATGAGAAACCGTGTAATGATGCCCCTACAATTGCAGAGTTGTTATGGAAGTTTCATTAAAATGTCTACTACAGAAGATACACAAAAAATTTGAATCATGAATATAGTCACAATCAAAGAAACACAAAAAGGGCTCGAGTACCTGAAAGAACATGGTGAGGATGTCGGAAGGCGAGACCGGAACAGAAACTGGCTGATCAGTCATAGTCGTCGATGCATCTTCTGGTGCTTTGATTTCTTCTGTGTTGTTGTTGTCAATGTTATCAATTTCTTCTGCTGCTTCTTCAGGAATTAGGGTATCTTCTTCGGCGACTGACGTCACAACAATCGCTCTCCGTCTTTGCAAGTACTTGTTGTTGCTCATTACTAGTGCCGAAGCAGGGTTACCATTGACATTGTTGCCATGGACTTGAATTTGAAGCATTCGAAGCGAAATGCTCGACGAAGAAGAAGAAGCAAGAGTACGAGATTTGGGTCTGTAAATCGAACAGAGAGTGGAAAATCCAGAGTTGATTGTGGCCATTGTTTCTTCTTCAATTCATCATCCGAAAGATAGAAGGGTAAATTGGCCTTTTTATAGTTGCCTTATCTACAAAAACATTCTCTCAATTTTATTATTTTTTTTGGTAGATTTTTTATTATTTATTTATTTATTTTTTTTTAGAGGGAAAACCCAAAGAGAACTACATAGCTTCAGAAAAGATTAATGAAGATAATTCAAAAGGGACCTCTTCCATCCAGATGGATGGTCCAGAACTCACAACTGCCATCTAAGATAGGCCATGAGCAACTTGATTGCCCAGCTGGGGAGTATGAGAAATATTCTAATTTCAAAAACAACGACTCCTTGCAATAGTTTCTTGAAGAACGTGACTGTAGGAGCATAACAATGGGTCTGCAGCAATGTTTTAAAAAGCGGCCGCAACCGTTACGTAACGCCGTTACCTAACGGTTTTGGCAGTTACCGCCACCCGTTACGGCCGCTTTTGCAGTGTGATTAAGATTCACAGGTGTGTCGGTCGTAGCGGCTGCCGTAGCGGTCGTAACGGTATTGTAACGGCTGTAACGGCCTGTTACGCACCGTTACGTAACGGTTCCAAACTGTTTCTTTCGAAAAAACACACAAAAAAAAGCTGAAAATGGGAAAAGAGGGATAGAGAGAAGATGGAAGATAAAAAGAGAAAATAGAGGAGTAAGAGATAGAGAGAGAGGAGGGAAGATGAAGAATATGTTATTGATTTGTTGAAGCTGTAAGACCTATACTATTCTATTCAGCTTGTTATTGATTTGTTGAAGCTGTAAGACCTATACTATTCTATTCAGCTGCATCACTAAACCGTTTTGTTTGTGTGTCTATCTATATATTGTTTGAAAATAATAAAAATAATAATAATAATAAGCGTGGTCATTATCTATTTGGCTTGGTTAAAATATGTATATATATATATATATATTTAAGCTCTTATTTATTCTCTTACTTTTGTCATTGTTTATCTTATATATATAGTTAGTGATTGATTTTTTGTATAATATAAAGTCATTAATTATTAAAATAAAATGTAAAAAACTAAATTTATATTGATTTAAAAATATGAAATATATTGGATCATATTTAAAAATTTATAAAAATTGATCAATATTTATTTTTAATCCAATAAATATGATCATGGAAAAAAAAATATGTGTATCGTTAAGTTTTTTTCAAATTGTGCGAAAAATAAAAAAATTCACGGTTCCGGTTACCGCAACCGTTACGCTACGGCCTTTACACCCCGCAACCGCAACCGCATCACCGCCACCGTTACGGCGACCGCCACCGCTTTTCAGAACCTTGGTCTGCAGCTTGAAGAGCTCGAATGATGTTGAGCGAACCCCCTTCTAAATGAACATCAAGAATGCCCAGGTCTATAGCAAAAGGCACTGCTCGTTGAGCTGCAAAAGCCTCAGCACAATTTGCATCTCCCCAACAATCAATCCTCTCTGACAAAGCCGCAATAACCGCACCAGCGTGGTCCCGAATAATAACACCAACTCCAACTAGGTGATTGAACACAGCACCATCAAAATTAACTTTGTAAAACCCATCAATTGGAGTGACCCAACGGACAGGCTCCCCAAAGACTGGTGTACTAATGGTTCGATGATTCGCAAGGGAGAAGTCAAGTAGAAGTTCACACACCCATTGAACTATATCCTCCGCTGAACGAAAGACTTCATTGAAAACAGCTTGATTGCGAGCACTCCACAAACCCCAACAAAGCGAAAAAAATAGGCCAAGTCCATATTCATCAACTCTATTGTCAATCACCGAAACCCATTGAGAAAAATCTGTACAATTCCAAGATTGAACCTCAAATCGCAGCGAACTTAATTCCCATACCTGTTTCGCAACAGGACAATCACGAACACGGTGCAACAAATTCTCTGGACAGTTGGGACAGAGTACACAATTTCCACCCACAAAGACATGCCTACGACGCAACAAATCAGAAGTGGGGATGATATTCAAAGAAGCTCTCCACGCAAAGAATTTAATTTTGTTTGGAATGCGAAGATGCCAAAGTTTCTTCCAAAAGTGTTGTTGCTCAAGTCCTCCATCCAAAGAGCCTGGTTGATTATTTGAACACATGAGAGCAACTTGTAAATGATAGGCTGATTTTATCGAAAAAAGGCCATTCTGAGTGTAATGCCACACTAATGTGTCATGAGGTAGAGCTAGGCATAAAGGAATTTGTTGAATAGCCTCAACATCAATCGGAAGTAACAACTCTTTGCAAAGGTGTAGATTCCAGCATCGCCGAACCGGATCAATAACAGAACAGACCATTTGGTGGTCTTCACCTACTGGAGAAGATATTAATTGAAAGGATTGTGGCCTAGGAACCCATTTAACACCCCAGAGATGAACACTTTGCCCATCCCCTATACGCCATCGAAGACCATCCCGAAGCAATGGTTTAACATCAAAAATGCTGCACCAAGTGAAAAGATGGATTAGACCCAATCGAAGACGACAAAAAGTCTGCATGAGGGTAATACTTAGCACGTAGAAGACTGGCCAATAACGAATCAAGAAACTTCATCAAGCGCCAGCCTTGCTTCGCAAGCATGGCTTTGTTAAAAGCCGCTAACTTCCAAAAACCCAACCCACCAACCCACTTTGGTGTACACAAATCCTCCCAGCTCTTCCAATGTATTTTCTTGGTTTTGTCAGAATGTCCCCACCAATAGCGACTCACCATGGAATCTCTCTCGGCACATAGAGTTTCCGGGATTCGAAAACACAACATAACATAGGTTGGTATGGCCTAAGCAACTACTTGGATCAAAACATGACGACCTGCTGCTGATATAAACTTCTCTTTCCATCCGTTGGGCCGCGTCCACAATCGATCTTTGATAAACTGAAACACCTCACGCTTGGTGCGCCCAACAAAATACGGAAGACCCAAATATTTTCCGTTCACCACCGTAGTGCTAACATGCAAAAGCTGACGAAGTTCCTCTCTTAATTCTGCTCCCACATTAGCAGTGAAACTAATAGATGTCTTGCTAAAATTGACCTTCTGACCTGAAGCTAATTCATATGTTTTGAGAATGCGCTCAACCATCAACACTTCCGCCACAGTCGCATTACCAAATAAGAGGCTGTCATCTGCAAACAAGAGATGCGAAATCTTCGGGCTGCCACGACATATGCCTATCCCAGTAAGTCTATTATCAAGCTCTGCCTGCCGAATCAACGAAGAAAGACCTTCCGCACAGAGGACAAATAGATAAGGGGACAAAGGACAACCTTGACGTAGGCCACATAAAGGGCGAAAAGATCTTGTGGGTTTACCATTCAAAAGGATCGAATACAAGATTGTCGAAACACACCGCATAATAGCTTGGACAAATCGGCCATCCATTCCCATTTTTAACATAATCTGGCGAAGAAAATCCCATTCGATATAGTCATAGGCTTTGCTCAATGTCCAATTTTAATGCAAAGTGCCCCGTACGACCATGCTTATGATTTTTCATGTAATGAAATACTTCAAATGCTGACAAAACATTATCGGTAATAAGACGCCCAGATACAAAGCCGCTTTGATTGATGGAGATCAAAGAGGGCAACACAAGCTTGAGCCGATTCGCCAGAACCTTACTAATCAGCTTGTAGACAACATTGCACAAACTGATTGGACGAAAGTCAAACATTCTTTTCAGATTCGAAACCTTCAGAATTAACATGATAAATGTGTCATTAATAATGTTCATAGGCTCTTGTCGGTTAAGAATTCCCAAAACAGCCGTAGTTACCTGTGACCCAATGTTCGGCCAAAAGCGTTGATAGAACAACGCATGTTTACCATCCATGCCCGGTGCCTTTATGGGGTGCATTTGAGCTAAAGCCTTGTCCACCTCTGCAGATGTCACCAACCAACATTCTATTTAAATCGTTGGACACCCGCGAGGTAGTAGTGTCAAGAACATCCTGAATACCCCGAGGGGCTTCCGAAGTGAAGAAGCTTTTGAAATAGTGCACAACAATATCCTCCATTCGACGTAAATCAGTACACCATAGTGATTGCTCATTTTCCAAACCCAGAATCAATTTCTTTTTATACCATTGGTTTGCTTTGGCATGAAAAAAAGAAGTATTGAGATTGCCATCTTTTAACCAATTGGCACGAGAGCGTTGACACCAAAATATTTCCTCTCTATGTAGAAGTTCATCAATATGTCGACGAAGAGCAGAAAAGGAATCCCGTTCCGAATCCGACATGGAGGTCAGGCCCTTTAGTCTTTGAAGCTCCTTGATCTTGTCTCGAATGGTATTCTGAAAGGCGCCAAATTTTTGTTGGCCCCATGTCGATAAACGAGCTCCAATGACGTCAAGATTTGATCGAATACCTTCCATTGTAGGTGTTTGTTGCCGTAACCAATTTTGAAGGACAATAGATTCACACTCATCATCCCGCAACCACATTGCCTTAAAACGATAAGGCCGTCGCCCTCCACAATAAGCCACCGAGATACTTTTTGAGCCTACTAAATCAAGCAATAAGGGGTTATGATCTGAGGTCGTGCATACCAGATTATGTACCGTTGCCAAGGAAAATAATTACAACCATGCCAAGGTAGCCACACCACGAGTTAACTTCTCCCAAATGAGTCCTTGCTGGCGGTTATTGGCCCATGTGAATTTGGGTCCACGATATCCAAGATCCGCTAGAGAACAATCTTCGAGAACATATTGAAAAACACTTATCTGGACACCACTACGTTCACCCATACCAACCTTTTCATGCGAGAATAGAATTTCATTGAAATCACCAATAACAAGCCATGGCAGACCAGACAAACTCGATAGTCTTCGCAACAAGAGAAATCAACTCTCTCTTTATAGAGAGAAGCAATATACATTGGATTCCAAAAGATGGGCATTACCACCGAAAGCAAAAAGAGAAAAGAGAAAGCTATACAGTTGGCAATATGATATACAATTAGCAATTAGCAATATTATATTAACAGGCCCATGTGAATTTGGGTCTGCGATAGCCAAGATCCGCTAGAGAA